TAGCAGGTGCAAAGGCACATAGACAGGAAAAAACTTAGTGTGGTCAAGAAACGTGTTGCTCAGTGCCCGTCAGAAGCCTCAGGACCCAGCCTTGTGTTGATGTCCCGTCAGGTGTGCCCAGTGCCTGCCCTTGCCACATGCCCTCAGCCATCGTATGTGGAAAATAGGGTCTACATCTTGGTTGTTGCTTCCTGTGCCCTGTTCCCCATGACCACACCTGCCTTCTCTGTTTCCAACCCTTGGTGTTCATTTCTCAGGCACCCCTTTGATACCTAGCTACCTGCCCTCTCTCCCCTAGGCATCTCTACCCACCAGAGCTCACAATGCCGAGCCATCCCTGTACCCATACCTCATCCCCTGTCCAGCTGCCCTGCTTCCCCAGCACAGGCCTTCCTGTGTATATGCTCCCTCTGGTTTGGGGCTTGCTCTATCGTGCCAATTGCGAATTGGACATTTAATGTGCCAGGCCCAGCTCGATTTCTCTCCCTTCCTTATCCCCTGCCCCTCCCATGGAACTCCATAGAAGCTCCATGATGTCATTCTCCATGAGGTCCAAATGCCAGTGACTTCCTTTCCTATCCTTTGCCTACCACCCCAGAGGGTCTCTGAGATGAGCTGTGGGTGTGACTTTTGAAATTCTCTCTTGGGTCAAGCCATTGGTCACTGGAGCCACTTATCACCCAGGGGTCAGCCAGTACAGGCTTTCTCTTGTATGCTTCAGTGCCATTGGGCAGGGTCCAGAAGTGGCGGGGTAAACATGCTGAGTCCACATCTTCTGCTGCAAAGTCCAGATGCTGCCAAGAACCCAAACGCCATGGCCAAGGCGTACCCTCTCCATAGATGAGTGCCCTTTCATAGAAGGGAGGAGACTGGAGATGTTGACCAGTGCTGCCTGTCTCTGAGAAGGGAGCCTTGTGCACCCCTCTGCTGGGCTGGGCATTTGGGAGGAACCCTGTCTTCTGTGGCCTGTTTGCTCCCCAAAGGTAGGTGTACAGGACAGTCAAAATAGCAGCAATGTAATAATTATTAAATTATTATGAAATAATAATAGGCACACACACACAGACTGAGGGCTTCCAGTATCCTGAGCACTTCAGCAGGGGCTTCCTGAGTCCACAGCCTGGTGTGGTACCCATTGTCATGGATGTTTGTTAGACAAGAGGTTACGTAGCCCAACACCACTCCACAAGCACTCAGTGATGCCAGAGCTGGCCCAGATGGCCTATCCCCATGTCCAGGGTGTCTATGCTTCGTTGACCACCATCCACGTAGTGCTCACACTGAGGTAGGCTCAATGTTAAACACTTACCCACACTGCATCCCCTCACCCGCAGGGCAGAATTGAGGCTTGGAAGGGAAGTAACCTGCCAAAGGTGACACAGCAGCAGGTGGCAGAGGACACATGTTAATCCAGTTCCCACAGACTCCAAAGCTGTGCTTTCAAGTGCGACATGCTACTCCAACCTGGCCCAGATGCCCCACCTCCCCTGGAAACCCAGGATCTCTTCTGAGCACCATTTAGCACGTGTCTAAGGGCGAATTTGGTGACAAGCTTGAGAACATTTTGCAAGAGGGAAGGAGGTGATTAAACAGGCAATTGTAATGGCGTTAGATCAGGGAACAAAGCAGGACCACACAGCACACCAGGCGAACCTAGCGGAAGTGGACGCAGCAAAGTGATAGTGAACTGAGGCTTGGAGGATGAGTCAGGGAGGCAGGCAGGGTTCGGTATGTCATCGCATGTGCAGAAGTCTGAGGTGAGGGGAAAAAAAACCACGTGAGAGAAAGTAAAAAAAATAGTGTGGCTACAGCATAGAGGCTGCAGCATAGAGTGTATTGGGGAGCACAAGGTCAGGGCTGGAGGGGTGGTGGGGGGCAAGCCCAGATCAGGGGCTGTGCCAGGGGCATGGTGCAGGAGAGGGAGTGGTCCAGCTTACACCTTCAGTCACTCCAGCTGCTGAGTGGAGAAGAGCTTGGAGAAGGAATATAGGAAGAGGGAGGTCAGGTGTTTGGAGTCTGTGGCAGAGTCCAAATGAGAGATGATGACGATGGCCTGGACAAGGGAGGTGGCTGCAGGGGTGGGAAGAGGGGAGTGAATTCAGGTGCTAGACAGTCATGCCGCTCCTCGTACTGTGTCTAAAGCACGATGGGAGGGGTCTCACCACCATTCTGATTAGAATGATGGCAGATGTGCCCACTCTAAGGTGAAATGGTGAACCGACCCTTTAAGAAGCAGGTCTTGTAATAAAAGAGTTTTGTTATGACTCATGCTCTGTGTTGTACTGTTGAAATATGTCAAGCAATAGCCTCTGTTCCAGTCACAAAAAGAATCATTACCCTGACTCTTTGTGTTGTCAATAACTTCTTCATGGGATTCACAGGCTTTCATAGAGAACCTGAGCAAAGTGAATTGGAAATCAGCACAGTCCCCAGAATGTACAGGTCTTGGGAATGGAGGCTCACAGCCTGGGGCCTTCACCACCACCCTCTTGTGATCCTCAGAACCATTCCTGGATGTGGGAGCTCCTTTCAAAGCTGGCTCATCATGGGGAAGTGTTGGCTCTTCACTGAGCTTCTTTGGGATCAGACAGATCCTTCTGTCTTAAATATCACCTGTGTGTTCTTGAGCAAGGGACCTTCCTCTTTTATTATTTTTTAATTTTTTTATTTTTTGAGACAGGGTCTCACTCTGTTGCCTAGCCTGGAGTGCAGTGTGACACGATCAGGGCTCACTGCAGCTTCCACCTCCTGGGCTCAAGCGATCCTCCTGCCTCAACCCTCCAAGTTGCTGGGACTACAGGCACGTGCCACCATGCCCGGCTCTTTTTTTGAAATTTTCAGCAGAGATGGGGTCTCACCATGTTACCCAAGCTGGTCTCAAACTCCTGAGCTGAAGTGATCCACCCACCTCAGCATCCCAAATTGGTGGGATTACATGCATGAGCCACCGTGACTGGCAAGGGACATTCTTTAGTTTCCACTTTCTCACTTGGAATTGGGCATAATAACTGCCTCACAGGGTGATTCTAAAGATTCTGCTGTTCAGCTTGATAGTAATAGCTAAGAATGATCACGTGCTTATTATGCACCAGGCACTTTTTTTAAGCATGTTGCATGTCATTGCTTTAATTTTCTCAGTGACCTTCTGAGATAGGTACTCGTGATCCCCATGGAGGGGAGGAAACAGAAGCACAATGAGATCAAGTGGCTTGCCCAAGGTCACATAGCAGGCATAGAGCAGAGACAGGATGTGAACCTGAGTAGTCTCATGGCCAGCCCTGCTTATAAGCCACCCACCATGTTTTGCTGCCTTCCCGAATATACAGTCCAGTGCCTGGCACATAGGAGACGCTCAGTGAGGTTGTTAGTTTCCTTTCTATTGGTCCTAAGTTATACACTCAAGGCAAAACAAGCTAAAGTCAGTGATAAATCAGTAAGACACCTTCCAACTCCAACAGCCTAGAACCTATAGGGGCCAACTGGTGTGACAGGATGGCTGAAAGGGAAGGCATTCCCTTCTTAACTAACACAGGGAAAATAAGCTAAATCCAAATCTGGCTTTATCCCAGACTTATTGTTGTTGATAGGTACATGTTATATATCTGAACTTCATCTACCAAGTTCATGGTGATGTTGACAGTATCTGGCAAGTAATATGCACCGTCTACCAGGATATCTCAATTACTTTCCCTCAGAAGCCACATTTGTCAGCTCTAACCAGGTATTTCAGATTCACCTGAAATTCAGTAAATGTCAGCCATTTATACATTGATTGATTGACTGATGAAGCATCAATCATTTATTTATTCAGCAAGTACTTACAAAGTACCTCTATGTACTTGGCCTTTTGTTAGGTGAGTGAGTGAGATATAGGTTTTGCCCTCCAGGAATACACCGTCAGTGAGTGAGGCTGACCTACAGGCAGGTTAGTTGTGGTATCAAGGGCTGTGGGGGCCAGAGGAGGAGAAATTGATTCTACTCTGAAAATCGAGCAAAGACTCCACAATGTTGAGGCCGTATAATCAAGGTCTTCTAAAAAAAAAATTTTTTTTAATGTTTTAGAGACAGGATCTCACTATGTTGCCCAGGCTTGTCTCAAACTCCTGGGCTCAAGCTATTCTCCCACCTTAGCCTCCCAAAGTGCTGAGATTACAGGTGTGAGCCACTGTGCCCAGCCTGATTAAGGTCTTGAGAGGTGAATTTTTTCAGCTGAAGAAGGAGTTGACGGCAGGGAGCTTTCTAAAATTACTAGCAGAATGGACCAAAGCCTAGAAGCACAAAAGAGTGCATGTTCAGGAACGTTGAAAGGTCAGGGTGGCTGGAAAGATTGTAGCGAGAGCTTTGAGATGCTGCCCATTAACACTTAGAATGCAAGGTTTATCTTTCAAAATCTAATTGCATTCGGATCAAGCTCCTATTCTCCAAGGTTGGTAAGAAGTTTAATATCGTTTGCTTCTTTGCAGCGCTCTCCCTCAGATTCAGTCAGAACCCAGAGCCTGGGAAAGATGCAGTAGAAGAAGGGTATGTGGTGACACCCTTCTCTGTGTTGATCACTAATTCTTGTCCAGGCCCATGTGGTCCGAAGAGGATGTCTGTGCTGGGAGTCTTGCTGGTTCCTCTATGTCAAGCACTGCTGCAGACTATCATCAAGGGTTTTGTTAACTTCTCCCCCAAGTGCAAGGAGAATCCAGATCTTTGGAACAAAATGTCTGGTCTCTTTTTTTGGTGGGGTAGGGCTCACAGGTGGAGGGAAAAAGTGCATTCATTTTTTTTTTTGTTGGCAAATCCATAGCAATAAGAACCAAGATATGACTTAATGACTCCATAGCCATCCTGCTGCTATAGGAGTGTAAATCAGGTATGGCCCACTCCCTCGTGATCTGGGAAGTCAAGGTGAAGGGGCTGAATTTCTTCCTGCTCATGTCAAGTGGCTGCCTGAGTTCTGGTGTAGGAAGGCAGAGCCAGGCAGGCTCTGACGAGTGGCTCCATGTCTTCTGCAGGTGTGGCAGTGTGGCGGGAGCGTGGAGGTCCTGCCCTGCTCACGGATTGCCCACATTGAGCGGGCCCACAAGCCCTACACAGAGGACCTCACCGCCCACGTCCGCAGGAACGCTCTCAGGGTGGCTGAAGTCTGGATGGATGAATTTAAAAGCCACGTCTACATGGCATGGAACATACCCCAGGAGGTAGGGATCTCCGGTGGGGACGAGTTTCTCGGGGATTGGTGGAAAACAAAACAAATCAAAATATGGGGCCAAACCCTTCTTCCTATGGGTCAGCCAGAGTCCTGTTTGCCATGCGAGAATGGACTCTCAACCCAAAAACATATTATCTGCCGAAGAAAAGGGGCCATGAGCCTCTAAACCATTTCTTAACCCCCTACCCCCATCCCTGGTGAGCATACTTGATGAGGACTTCTCTCTGGATCTTAGTGTCCTAATTTTAAATGAGAAAGTTGGACAGGTAGCTCAAGTTCCTTCATGCTCCCAAGTCCTCGGCTTCTCTGACATTAGATGTTTCATGGTCCTGGATTACAAATATACCAGTAACTACAAAAATTTATAAAAAACATCTAATCTTCCTATAGATGAGATTCAAACTTCTCCATTGAACCTTCGACCAGAGTTATAAAGATCCATATGCCTTTCAGATTTCTTGAGCCACATGGATGGGGATGGGGGCACACCTACAGGGACCCTCACTAGGAGATGGGAGTTATTCTGGGCTGTTTTTAGACAGCGTTTAACCTTCACAGAGCCTTGTCATTGCCTGCCACTGTCCTCTATCCCTCTAGTCACCTGTACTTAAGAAATGCCAGAGAAAAAGCAATGTTTCTCTGGTAGTTTTGTTTAGCCCTGCCATGTGTCAAGGTGAAACATGTGGAAATGACCTTGGACTACTGAGTTGAGAGAACCCAACAGATGCCAGCCACACGATTCCAATCCACATACCAGCCTGTCGGCCTGGAGTTCATTGCTTGTGTTGCATTCTGTGTCAGACAGAGCTGTCAGAGCTATCGACTACATGACCTCATTCTTTCCTCCCAAGGCCATGGCAATCCCCTTTGGAGTCCTTTAGGAAGCCTCTAATGGGGAAATGATTGATCTTCACTCAAAGTGTCCATATAAAAGCCCTGTTACCTAAACTCTACACCAAGCTAATGTTGCCCTGGTTAAATGATTGAGAAAGTTGACTGGTTCGTGGGTGGGAGCTTTTAGCCCACCTCGAGCCGCACCACCACCGCAGGAGATCCCCTCTTGAATTGGGTTGCATACTCCCACAATCAGTGAGGTTTCAGCAGTTGGGAGCAAGAATGAGGAGTGGAGAAATATCAGCCAGAGTGCAGCCAACCCTAATGTACCAGCCTGGGATTGCGTTCCTGACAGTAAGAGTGTTTCCGGGGAATTGCAGTACCTTCTGGACTCATCGTCAGGATTGAATCACAGTATTCTGCATGGGGTGTCAAGCCCTGTGGTAGGTGGTCTGTGATGGCAAAATATTAAGAACACTTGGAAACTCCCCAGGAGCTCACCAGTGAGACATTGCAGGTCCCCAGGCTCTGCTTAGACTGGTGAGTTAGCATACTCTTACTGCCTTCTTTCTGCACCCCAGAGCTGCAAACCTTCTAGCCCTCTCCCCCTTGCAGCTGACAGGTGTTGAAATGCCCAGCAACCCAGTGAATGGTACAGAACTGAGTGAATGAAAATAACTGAAAAGTGATGAAATTCAGTGTCTGTCTGTGACTCCTCAAGGTGGGTAGTTCAAATCAAATGGGTAGGGGGAAGTGAACACAAGACACGTGAGAGGTGGAATTGCCCAGGATAAAGCCTTAGGTGAAGAAGGAAAGGATCAGTGTGTTTCCTAAAATAATTCTCTTTCCTTTCCTGTTCCCTGTGTCCAAATGTCCTCTCCTTCCTCTTATCAAGCTTGTACAGGGTCAATACTTCTTCATCTCCCAATCCTTCTCCCAAGCTGTATCCTGATACTTCATCAAGACTGCTTTGTCAAGGTGAACATGGGTCTCCCAACTGCCTAATTTAAGGGACATTTTAAGGTCTTTAACCTATAGGATTTCACCTTTTCCTTGAATCTCTGTAGTTCCGTGGGTCCATGATTCCACACCCTGGAATCTCATCTCTCTCCAGTTATTCCTAACTCTTCAAGGACTCCTCTTACGTTCACTGGGTGCTTACATGCTCCTGGGGTATCCATCCTTGGCAGACTGCTCTCATTATTTCCCATCTCCGTGGGTAATCTCATCTACTCTTGCATTGGACTCCCACCCATATGCTGCCTCCCTAATTAATATCTCTACCCCTGACTTCTGCCTTCACTTTCAGACTCACATCTCCAACTGCCAGCTGGACATCTCCTCTTGGCCATTCCCATAGGCACTCAGACTGAATCTGACCAGCCAAACCCACCTTCTTCCTCCAGATCTGCTCCTGTTCTCATTCTGTCACAGTTCATGGTGCCACCATCTTTCAGACACATGAGTTTGAAACTGACATCATCCTTCAATCTTCCTCTCTCTCAATGCTCTGTCCCAGTCAATCACAAGCCCTCCTTCCCACCCCAACCTCCTCTCATATCTGCATTCAGGCCCTGTTTTTTTCTCTGCTACAAGCTTCAGCTGGTTTTCCTGGCTTGAGTCTTTATCTCCTTCAAATCTATCCTCTACAATACCCAAAGTTATCTATAAAACACTCACAACGACCATGCCATTGCCCTGCTTAAAATCTTTAAATGAGGCTAGGCGCAGTGGCTCACACCTGTAATGCTAGCACTTTGGCAGGTGGATCACTTGGGGTTAGGAGTTCAAGAACAGCCTGGCCAACATGGTGAAACCCCATCTCTACTAAAAATACAAAAATTAGCCAGGCTTGGTGGCACGTGCCTGTAATCCCAGCTACTCAGGAGACTGAGGCAGGAGAATCGTTTTAACCTGGGAGGCAGAGGTTCCAGTGAGCCGTGGTTGTGCCACTGCACTCCAGCCTGGGTGACAGAGCAAGACTCTGTCTCAAAAAAAAAAAAAAAAAAAAATCTTTAAATGACTCCTTCTATGCACAAAATCAAACACAAAGCCCAGTGTTTGGCATGGCATCACAGGTTCCCATGCTTTCTCCTCTGCCTGTATTTTAACCCCGCTGCCCACCACTCCCTGTTTTGAAGTCTGCATACACTGTGTTGACTATGGGAACTGCCCATTACACACCGTCCATGCCATGCTGTTTCTCACGACTCAGTGCTTGCTCATCCTGCTTGGAATTCCCTACCCTCTACCTCTTCCCGTATGACCACCCGTACTAAATCTTCCCCATCCTTTGAGACTAGCTCCAGGGATCCCCCCTCTAGAAAGCCAGCTCCAACTGGGGAAAGAGCTCCCCCTCCTATATATATCTCTGTCATTGCATGACCAGCCTGTGAAAGAGTGTTCTGTTATCTAAAAGTCTCCCTCTCATTAGAACAGTGGTTTTCAAATCTGGCTGAACTTCAAAATCACTTGGGCTCCACCCCCACAGATGACCACTTAATTGGTTTGGAAGGGGCCCCTGGAATCTGTTTGTTGAGAAAGTTCTTCAGAACCACTGAGAACCACCACAATACACCATGGACCCTCTGAGGACAGACTGCTTTACATTTTTGTGTTATTATATCTAGCACAAGGCAGGGCGCATGGTAAGAGCTTGGTGACGCCTTGCTAACGCTTATTAATGAGTGAGTCTGCTGGCAGTGTGTGTAATCCCTTTCTTCCTTGGTTAGTGACTCCTAAAAGCAGACCTTCAGACCAACTGCATCAGAATCACTTGGAGAGCTTTTTAAAAAATACTCATCTGGGTCTTATCCTCAGAGAGGATTTTGAGCGGTAGGTGCCAGAATCTCTAAAAAGCCCTCCAGATGAGAGGTTAGGGTGGCCAGGTTTGGGTTACACCTATTTAGCTCGTCCTTCACAGTTTTCCAAACCCACCTCAAGTGTTGCTTACTCCAGGAAGCCTTCTTTGACTGCTTACCTCCTTTGCCCCCAATCCTGGCCTCCACACAATGTAAGAAGAATGAGGCCCCTCTTCTATTCTCTCTTTCACTTTCTCTTCCTTTCCATGCCTCACACTTGTTCACAAAGAGTATGTTTACTTGTCTGAAACTCCCAGACTCACCTTTCAGGCCGAGAGTGTGACTTATTCTTATTTGTATACAGAGTGTTTAGGATAGTGTCTGACACATAATAAACAGGTGCTTGGTAAAGGTCAGTTGGAAAAGAAGAAGGAGGATGCATGGATGCTATATGCTTCACACAGTTTCCCTAGGAGGTGTACCAGCTGCCCCTGAGATAGCTATGCCCCAATCCCTTTTCCTCAGCTGCAAGCACATCTGTTCCCAATTTACTTAACCTTTCGTCTACAGCATCTCAGCTGCAAATATGGAGCTGGAGCCCGTCAACCCTGCCCAGGTGGCTGCCTTGAGAATTAAATAAGTTAATACACGTAAAGACTTTGATCAGTGCTTGGCACACAGAAAGCGCTAGTTAAGTGTTAACTCTTGTTGGTGCTGTGATTGTTTATGCCCTATACTTTCCTTCCACAGTTGTAAAATGCTCATGCTGGGCAGATACCCTCTGCTTGTTGTCTTCTAAGCTGAGGCCTCCTCAGAGTTGTGCGCTTAGCAGAACTGGCCCTCTCACCTGCTCCCTTAGCACGTCCAGTCCCCAGCTTTTGAAAGGCTGAAGAGCCTTCCCCTCTTGCAACCTGCTACTTTAACTGAAAATCAGTTTATTTATCAATAAACAGAAAGTCTGCAGCAAAACATCAATATTTTCTTAGGCCAGGTTCAGGAGCTCTAGACTGCTTCTCTTGCCCAAAGACAGGCTGAGTGCCAGGGATGGCTTGTCATGTGCTTCAGTGATAGCCCTCCTTTAAGTCTGGCTATAAGGAATTTTGTGACTATGTGGCTGCAATACTGGACACTTTTATGTGGCTAAGTTAATATATTTGTTTCCTAGGGCTATGGTAACAAGTTACCATGAACTTGATGGCTTCAAACAACAGAAATTTATTCTCTAACATCCAGGTGCCAGCAGAGCTGTGCTCCCTCCAGCGTCTCGAGCGGGGAGCGTCCTTCCTTGCCTTGGCCAGCTTCTGGTGGCCCTGAGGGGTCCCTGGTTGTGGATGTATCACCTTAGTCTCAGCCTCTGTCTTCACATGGCCTTCTCCTCTTTGTCTCTATGTGTGTCCAGGCCACTCTTTTTTCCTCTTATAAAGACATCAGTCATTTCAGTCATATATAGTCACATACAGTCATAATTTCGGCAAGCCCTAAATGCAGGATGATTTCATTTTGAGATCCTGAATTAATTATATCTGCAAAGACCCTTGTTCCAAATAAAGTCCCATTCAGAGGTTCCGGGTAGACATGAATTTTAGAGAAGGCCACAGTTCAACTCACTACACCAAGTATTTGGCAAAAGAGGAGGATGCATTTATTGTTTTCTAATAAGGGCCAAGGTGACCTTCTCAGAGGTTTACTTTCTTCTCAGTGTATGCCTCCTGCTTTGAAGATGGGTTTGATGAAATTTACAGTAAACACACAGTGCAGATATGCTGAACTATTAAAACGGAAAGGCAAAAGTCAATTAATACACAGGAACGGGAAGGGGACTTCATACTCAGAAAGATAAGCTGAACAAAGGGCTAGTGCTTGAGCTTCGTCGCAGGAGATGGCCACCTGGTGGATTGTGTCTCTCTCATCTTTTACTCGATCATGTGGAGGGAGGCAAACTTTGCCCTGTTCCTAAGTGCAGAAAGATACTTTTCCTGTGGGAACCCAGAAGTTTAGGAAAACACAGAGGCCTTTGTGAGACAGGTTCTTCTAGTGGCTCCCTATAAAACAGACACAGTGTTAAATTTAGTCACATAAAGGCAATTATAACACAAACGGAGAAGGAATGGATGGGTCCTGGGACAGTTTTCTGATATAAAGATAGAGTACCGTGGAGTGTAAATGGTTGATACTTAATGAATGCTTTGGAGTCGGAGTGGAAAGTAGATTACATCTATTGCCAGTTCCTGTGTTCACCACTTCATAAATATTTTCTCCACCCAGCAATGTAGCTCATGCTCAGTGCTAGGACTGGGGGCACAGAGGTAAGTCTGATGGAAGTTTCCTGACCTTAAGGAGCCAGAGTCTAGCAGAGAAAGGCTTGGATAACAGCTGCAGAGAAGGCTCTGGGCAGGAGTGTGCCGCACACAAGTCACAGATGAGGTCATTAAGAAGTACTAGGAAGCCAAAATAGCTCCTTGTCATTCTAGAACTTTAACCTTCAGGCTGTAGCAGGTTCAAATTTTTATATTGCCTGAACTCTTGTGAGCAAAAAGGAATCTATCTCTTTTATATCTAAATTGTATTTTCACTCAAGCCTACATTGTCTGATGTCAAAAATTTGCCTTGTTCGTGTCCAGATAAATGCAGCCATTTTTGTGATCTTTCTCAGATATTTTAGACAAAATCTGCCTGACCTCAGTAACTTGATCCCTGGGGTTGATGTTTGAACCAGGGATTTACACAGAGAGCGTGTGGACCACAGTGTCGGTGAGAGAGAGCTCACTTCTTCGTCTGCCCTCCACTCTGGGTTGGCATCTTATGGGATACCACATGCCCATCTGCATGCTGGCCTTCATCCCTGCCATGGTGTCATCCTCTGAGACGCACTGGGTCTTCATCAGATCCCCAGAGGATGGACCCTTCTGCAGCCTCTGCTTTTGCATCAGCTTTTTCTCAGCCAATTCTGTGCCCCATTCAACAGCTGGTATGCAGGCCCAGGAATTCTTAGTGCTGCCCAAGTCTGCTCTACAAGCAATGTGGGGAGGGGGGCTTCTCTAGCCTTCTCACTCCTGGACGCATTCACGTCTCACTTCTGCTCCCTGGCTGCTGCACCATGCTGGCTCAGGGGCCACCTCACTGATGCTCCTGAGAAAGGAGGGAAACAAGTACTCTAGATGCCAAGACTCCCAGGCTGTAGGAGTCTGCTTCTCCTGCAAGGACTTCGTCTGAGGACGCAGAAGAATGGCATCTTCCAAACACACAGAGTAACATTAAAAGCAGAAACTCTAGACCCAGGTTAATTGGGTTCAAATCTCAGCTCCACCATTTATTAGTTGTGGGGCCTTGGGCAAGTTACCCAGGAGGTTACTGAACCTCTCTTTGTCTCAACTCATCATCCATAAAGGAGGATTACGTGGTGCTGTTTTATAGGTGTGAATGGGACAACATACATACATATAAATAAAAGTAAATAAATATAAATATATACTGCATATCTCATTCAGAATACAGCCTAGCACTCTGGAAATGTTTAAGCCTTAGCTGTTATGATTCTTAGGAATAGTATTAGAATTAGCATCATTTCATCTCAAAGCTTTTTCCTTCCCCTCTCTCTCTCACCTTAAAGCTCAGAATCTCTCACTTTGCCTCTTGAGGTAGGGAAAAGCTTTATTCAGAGGGATTCTTCCCATTTCTTTCATCTACATCCAGACTGTAGCTTTTTTTTTTTCTTTAAGGATTTGGCATCTTTATTTTCAATGGCCTTTGATGACAGTGCCCGGCAATGCCGACCTCATGTTTCGTAGTCTAAATGAGGATGGTTATGGGGTCAAGGTGCCCGTGGGAAAATGCAAGAGTTAACGTGCCACATGGTCCCTTCACTAGTCTCTAGGAGTCTTGATTGGCGGCACAAGGTCATGCCAAAGTAGAGTTTGGGGAGAAGCTGCAACCTGGGAGTGGCTTCATCTCTGCTTCCACGTCCCTGTGCAGGACTCAGGAATTGACATCGGGGACATCACTGCAAGGAAGGCTCTGAGGAAACAGCTGCAGTGCAAGACCTTCCGGTGGTACCTGGTCAGCGTGTACCCAGAGATGAGGATGTACTCAGACATCATTGCCTACGGAGTGGTAAGGAGCTGGCCTCCTCCGGGTTTCATTCAGACACACAGAAAGAAGCATAGTGAAGAAAGGGAGAGGAGGGAAAGCGCCTCTCAGCTGCTCCCGTGAAGAACTGCAGTAGGCCTGGGGAGCGGGTGCGGGTTCTGCACCTGCAAGCCTTGACTTTTACAGCCCAAACCCCTCCAGTCCCTTGAGAGAGGTACTTGTCTCTCCTTTATAGTCCTAAGCAATTCAGCTCTGGCCCCACACCTGCATATTCCACTTAATAAAACACACAATAAAGCAGTTAGCTTAAGATTGAAAGGTAAGGTAACAAACACCTGCTGTTTTCCCAGCTGGGGTGCCTGAGGGTCTATGAGTCACCCTGTGTGCCTCCCCTACCAAGGGGCTGATGCCTTCCATTCACATGCAGAGCCTCCCTGAGAAGAGTTCTAGAAACAGAGCCATCTTGAGTTGATTATATTTGCTGTATTTTTAGTACTGCTTGTTGATGGGCACAGAGCAGTTCTCCCTGATGAGAGGGAACAAGGTGGAGGGGGCAGAGCATAGGTTTGGAGTCAGACAGACCTGGTTCAGATCTTAACCAGGCTGCTTCCCAGGTAAGTGTCTTAATGTCATGGGCCTCAGTTTCTTCCTCTGTTAAACGGGGGTAATTCAGTACTATCCCCGTAGAGTAAAAGAAAATCTAATATTTGTAGATATGTGACCTTAGATGAAAATGTATTTTCTGTCTAAAATTAAAATACTTCGAATATGATAAACTCTCCCATTTTCTCAATATTCCTTGGACCATACAGGTCAAATGCCATAAGGTATTTTAAATGGTATTTTGATTGATTTTTGGCTATCTCGCCTGGCTTTTGCTGACTTACAGTCTGAACACATAAACTTTTGCCATGACAAGCCCCCAAGACTACTCTGTAGGATTAATTATATTATCTCCATGTCACAGATGGGGAAACAGAGTCAAAGAGTGATTTTCACAAGCTCACATAATCAGCAGTGAAACCAAGTCTAAAAAACCAGCTTCTGGTATCACTCTGATTCCTTCCTTTGGAGAGTGTCCCCTCAGACCTTTTTTGATATCTCAAGATGAAAACTTGAAGGAAGAACTGAGGTCTCTTCTTTTGATGAGCTGTCGTTAGAGCTGAGTTCAAAGCCTGCCCCAGATGAACAGGACAATTGCCTATGAGTGGGAAGAATCTGCTGAGAGATTGGGCTCAGTGCTCCCTATGTACCCCCAAACTCTTATATACATCCTAGGATTCCAAAGCAGACAGAACTGGTATCCTAGACCCACCCCCTCTAGCCCCAGGGTCTCTGTTATCCAGAATACCAGCTTGTAGGAGACAGTCTTATCCTCCCATGAGTGTCCCCATGGCATGGTTGACATATCCCAAGAGAACCATGCAGTGACCTCTCATCTCTCCACTTCTCAGTCTGGTGCAATTCACATCTCAGCAAACACCTCAGCTAGTGCTGCTTAGGTAGTACCTGAGTCTCCAGATCCTGTTGTCACCATGGAAACACATTGCACTGTAAGGTGCCTGTCTGTCCCATTCACCTCCCCAGAACCATCCTGAAGACAGCTGCCTTTGATGCCCCACACTCTACCCATAGCAAGCTATGTGGGCTGCTTGGCCATGGTGGAACCCAATCCTAAAAGAAGAGTTATGCTGCTGTGGCTCCAGAGAAACTATTGGCCCCAAGCCTCCGTGAGCCAGGGCAAGCTTCTGGATTCATGTTCTCAGCAGGCTGTCAGCTGTGGCTAAGCAGGATTAGCCAAACTCCCCCAGAGAGGCAGGGGAAGCAGTAACAGTAGAGGTGTGTACATGTGCCTACTGCAATTTTGGGTCCTGGCCAAAGGCATTCTCATCCTCCAAGCAAAAACATCTCATCTTATACACATGTGCAAAGGTTTACCATATAGCCCCTCCATGCCACCCCCAGAAACATTTGGTTTGTCAAATAGTAAGTGGAAAATATGGGGTTGTGATCTAGATCTGTCTGAGTTCAGAGCTGGGCCTATTTTTACTGTCACACTGAAAACCATTCGCTTGTCATCCCAAAGGGCTGAGCTGTGTTAGCCATCCCTGCGGCTGGCAGAGGACTCTGACCCCCTGCACATTCATCAGCCCGCCACTGCTCAGGGCCCAGCCAGCCTCCCCTCCCTCCTGCCTCCTCCACGGGCCGAGCCCCTACATGAGCAGAGACATGCCTGCTTGTCAAAGAGCACAATAAACACTTAATGGGGGCAACCTGGCTGAAGATGGGCAAAGTGGGATGCAGCCACAATAGCAAGAGTATTTGCTGGGTCTGACTCATTCTTCCTGGTAATTATTTTTATCCTAAAATGAAGAGACCAGATACCTTTTCAGGGGCATAATTTCTTTTTCCTTTTTCTATTCCAACTCATGACCAAATGACATTGTTCAGGACAAATGACTTCTGGGACTCTGAGTCGAGCCAGTATCAAGTCTATAGCCCAGCCCATTAATCCACTAATGGGCCCCATTAATAACTCCTGCAGGCCTAAGGACCTGTGGGCCCCATCGTGTGGACATAAGTTTCCCCTGGATCATTGAGCTCCATGTCCAAGAGATGGGAGAGCATTGGATTAATCACAGCTCTGGTGCTGAGAGTAGAGATGGAGGGGCATCTGGAAACAGACATGCCTGGCTTCTGAATGTTAGCTTTGCCCCTTAATGGCTATGTAAACTTGACAAGCTGCAAAACCTTAGTGGTCACAGTAATGCCATTTCATAGGGCACATTTTACAGTCTCAGGATTATAGCCATTTGCATTATGGAAAGAGCTTGGGTTTTGGAGTCTGACAGACCAGCTCTATCACTTGCCCGACTATGATTCCATTCATTTGGGAATGCCATTCATTTACTCATGTTTTTCTTGTACCCACTCACTCACCCACTCAACAAGTATTGACTGTCTCCTTTGTGCCTGGCCTATATGATATCCAATGAGACTGAGACCCAGTCTGATGACTAACAGGGGAGACAAACAAGTGAAGAAGGAACAAGAATGCAACTGGTTAAGTGCTACCCTAAGAGAAATGGGGTGCTAGTGAAGCACAGGGCAGTGATCTCATACAAGACTTGGGTTGGGAAAGGCTTCCAGAGTGGCAGATAAGCTGAGAGCCAAGGGAAGAGGCAAAGAGGAGGCCAAGACCAAGGGCGATGTGGGGAAGTGTCCACACAGGCTGAATAGCACTACAGACAGGGAGGAGAGTGGAGCTTGTTCCTACACCACAGTTCCTTCATCCTGGCTAGTCATTATGACAATTAGGTGAGACATATGTGGAAAGCACTTCACATGGTACCTGACACATAGACGCATTCCTAAAAGCTGGTTTCCCTGAATGGCTTTGAGGAAGGTTATAGCAGTAATAATAGCAGCTAACAATTATTATTGCAACATTTGTTATTTGCCAGGCCCTACGCTAAGCACTTGCAGATATTGTTTCACTTAATCCTCATAACAGCCTTATGAGGTAGGCACTATTATTATTCCTCTTTTAGAGGGGAGAAAACAAACAGGAAGGAGTTACATTGCTTTATTCAAGACCCCACAACTGGAGCCAGGTTTCCATCCCAGCCTGTTGCTTCTAGCTGCTTCAGTGGACTACCTGCCTAAGGGGTAGTGGGGGTGGGGGGTGGGCAGGAACGACACAGAGCCAGGGAGGACTTTATCAAAAGACACCCACCCTCTCACCCAAGCACTGGCATTAAGAACCCAGGGGAAAGCCAAGTCTAACATCAGGGCTCTCCAGGCCTTCCTCTTTGCAACAGCAGTTAGCAGATTTTCCTAATGGGTTACAGTGCTTGGCTTTAGATATGACACCCACCTCTTCGTGGGCTGTAGGACGAGAACAAAGTGTGTTTACATATGCTCTTCCCACTAAGGCAAACCAAGGAATTGGTTTATAATGGAGGATTTGCTGCAGAAATGCTACCGGGGGCTCTGCCTGAGACACACGTTCATACAGTATTTCTTCAGAATCTCTGAACTGCGAGTTTGGGATTAAAGGTGCTACCACCCAGTAGAGGAAAGGAAGCTCAAAAGAAAAGAATTCAACTCTGTTCCTTGTCCCCTGTTAGGAACAGGGTATGCTTGGAGCACACATGGGCCTCTGGTTGTCGGCTCCATCTCCTGCCTCTTCATTGGCTTCATTTCACTCCTGCCACAAGCCATTAGGAGTACAAAGGCCCTGCTACTGTCTCTGGCCTCCCCCCAGATAGATGGCCTCCCTGTGGCCTCTTGTTCTTGTCTTCCCTGGATTCTGTTCTCCAGTCCCCTATTCTGGGCAGAGTGTTTTGATGGCTAAGGAGAGAACCCCAGTCAAGCCAGCTCAAGTTAAGATGAGGTGGGTGAAGGTACCATAGACTCTTACAGGAGTAGGAACTGAAGTACAGTTAGACACGGACACTACAGCTGGGAAGCCACTGAAGCTGCCGCAGAGGCAAGATGGTCTCTCTTGTCTCTCCTTCTGTCTGCCTCATGCATCATCACATCCTTGTTCACAACTGGCTTTCTCTGCTTGAACATGGCCATGGCCAACAGAACCCCCCCATGCCCAGTTTAAACAGCCTTGCAATTCTAGTGGCCACCACCCACCAATTACAGTCTCTGGGTCCTGTTTAGGTTCCTAAGACAGATAAGACAGTGATGAGATGGGGAGGAGAGAGGGAGAGAAAGAGAGTGATTAATTCTGAAGTGTGGATCGGTGCCCACCATGGTCCACTCAATTGTGGCCGGTGAGCAGGGCCATGAGGACAATGGGCTACCCTTTCCGAGGGCTGAGAGTGGGTGTAAGCAAGAAAGTGACATTGAATGTCAGCTCTCTTACCCAGACATGTGTTAATTGCCAAGACTGGATCCATCCACCCGTAGGTGAGGGTAAGAGATGCCGTTCTCTTCTCCTGCTCCCACCCTGGCCCCCTCCTCTCTTATTCTACCACCTGACCTCCCACTATGGAAGACCCTAAGCAGGTGGGCCACCATGGGGCCTGGCCAAGCCACTGCTGGGTCTGCAGGAGGCAGACAGCGTCTGGTCCCAGGGGACCTCTGAGGCCTGAAAATAGCTAACATGTTGCCCATTTTCCCCAACATTCAAGAGCAAAGATTTCCCTCAGGGACACTTGAAGGCTGTTGTTCCACCCCTGAGGAAGTGGAGGGGCTGAAGAGCAAGCACCATCTTGTGTGTGATATGCATGAGCTGAAGAGCAAGCACTGTCTTGTGTGTGCACATGCATGTGTATCTCTTATATTTGCCCAGACTGTCTCAACTCCCAGAAACCCAGCTCACTGTTTAGTGACATGTAAGTGTTTCTCCTTCAAAGGAGGCTGGTCTCCCCTCAGCACCTTTATGCAAGGCAAAAGCTGGTGCTTGTTGGTTCTATAGTGTTCAAGGGCCTTGGGCTGATTATGGAAATGAAATCTGTCCAGCAGAATGCTTGTTTCTCCAGAGTTAATGCATTTGCTCTCTCTGTTCCTCTCTCTGTGGTGTGGCCATCTGGTCTCTGATGTTCAGCTGCAGAATTCTCTGAAGACTGATTTGTGTCTTGACCAGGGGCCAGATACAGAGAATGTCCCCATCATGTACATATGCCATGGGATGACGCCTCAGGTGAGTCCTCTAAGAGATTCCTGTGCCAGGAGTGTGCATGTGAGTGCGTGGCATGGGGAAGGAGAGCTAGGCTCTGTCATGGCAGCTCTGGGACCAGGGGCCTCTGGGGCTTTTCATTAGGGCACATCCTCGTGAGCTGAAGAGGATGGGTCACATCTGCCTTGCCTGGAAGGAAGGTGGGGGAGTGGATGCTATGACTCCAGGATCCTCCAGGATGGGGAGGATGAAAGGGGTTACATTTCTAAAGAGAAACACCTGCTTCCTTTGGGGAAACTATGGGTACATCACAGTTCTGACTCTGACAACCAAGCTGCTCCCCAGCAAGAGTGGGAGGTTCTCCCAAGCTCCCTGAAACGTCCGAGTCCCTTCAGAATGCCATGGCATGGTCTTCAGCTCTGCCCTTTAGTAGATCATAGCTGGGGCCAAAATTTATAGCCACGGGCCTTCTTTCCAGCTCTTCTTCTGACTTTCTCCTGGTGGAGAATGGAGGGCAGCTACCGGGAAAATAATTTATTCTTACAAATTCTCCATTCATAGTCTAAGCTTCAGATACTCAAAGAGGATGCCAAGACACAGGCAAGAGAAATGGTTCATTGAACAAAGTACAGCAGACAACCCTTGACCAAGAATGTCATAGGCTGACCTGTTCTGAATTGATAACATTCCCAGAGTGTACTTATCTCCAGAAGTACACAATGATTTAAAAAGATATTTGAGCATATAAGATATGCCTATGTGTGCAATTACAATTAAAAGAGTATTTAAAAGAGCTGTTGCCTACCAAAACACACAACTGAAGGACATCATGACATGTATGTCGCTATGTGTGTGAATGATGAGCCCTCCCAGGGACTGGCCATTGTCACCGCCACCATCTTGTCCTTTTGGGGGACTGAGTTGCTGTGACATTACTGGCTGGTTAATTGCAGGCCAGCAGATCAGGCTACGCCCACAGGACCCAGTATGGCAACACATTCTTCATTGTTACAATGGTGTGACATTTTTAATGAGTGACTATCTTTTTAAACATTATATTGAAGTAAAACATATATACAGGGAATACATGAATTATAAGTGTACAGCTTAATCAATTTCCAGACTGAACACACCCAGATCAAAAATAAGAGTATTGCTGCCTGATTTTGAATTCTACATAAGTAGGATTATATAGTATATATTTTCTTATGTTGACTTCTTTCATAATTATATTTTTTTAATTTTTATTTTTATTTCAATGGTTTTTGAGATTCAGGTGGTTTTGGTTACATGGATACTTGGATAAGTTCTTCAGTGGTGATTTCTGAAATTTTAGTACACCCATCACCCAAGCAGTGCACATTGTACCCAGTGTGTACTCTTTTATTCCTCACCCCTCCTCCCAACCTTCCCCGCCACATCCCCAAAATCCATTATGTCATTCTTATGCCTTTGCCTCCTCATAGCTTAGCTCCCACTTATATAAAAGCGAAATCATACGATATTTGGTTTTTCATTCCTAGATTATTTCACTTAGAATAATGGCCTTCAGCTTCATCCAAGTTACTGCAAAAGACATGATTTTATTTCTTTTTATGGCTGATTAGTATTCCATGATGAATATATACCACATTTTCTTTATCCACTCGTTGGTTGATGGGCACTTAGGTTGGTTCCATAGTTTTGCAATTGTGAATTGTGCTGCTATAAACATGCGTGTGCATGCATCTTTTTCATATAATGACTTCTTTTCCTTTGGGTAGATACCCAGTAGTGGGATTGCTGGATCAAATGGTAGTTCTACTTTCAGTTCTTGAAGGAATATCCATACTGTTTTCCATAGTGGTTGTACTAATTTATATTCCCACCAGCAGTGTAAAAGTGTTCCACACACCAGAAGAAATAATCATTAAACAGACAACCCACAGTGTGGGAGAAAATATTCACAAACTATGCATCCAACAAAGGATAAATATCCAGAATCTACAAGAAGCTCAACAAATCAACAACAACAACAAAAAATAATCTCATCAAAAAGTGGGCAAAGGATATGAATAGACAATTCTCAAAAGAAAATATACAAACAGTCAACAGACATATGAAAAAAATGCTCTGCATCACTAATCATCAGGGAAATGCAAATTAAAACAACAATGAAATACCACCTTACTCCTGCAAGAATGGCCTAACTAAAAAGTCAAAAACCAATAGATGTTGGCATGGATGTGGTGAAAAGGGAACTCTTTCATCATTACATTTCTGAGATACATCCCTGCTAGTACATGTAGTTGTAATTTGTTCATTTTAACTACTATGTAGTATTCCATTTTATAAGTATACCATAATTCATCATCTATTCAACTGCTGATGGACACTTGAACTACAGCCAGTTTGGAAGCATCATGAATACTGCTGCTATGAACAGCCTTGATCATGTCGTTTGGTATACATATATGCTCACTTCTTTTGGATTTATGCCCAGAAGCAGAATTGTTGAGTCATAGGATTGACATATGTTCACTTTTAGTATACATTGCCTGTATTAGTCTGCTCAGGTTTCCAAAACAAAATATCACAGGCCTTAAACCACATAAACTTATTTTCTCACAGTTCTGGAGGCTGGGAAGCCCAA